TGCTCAGCCAGATTGCCTGCCGTTTTTCCACATTATTTGCGGCGGTACAGCCCGTGCGCATCCTAATCGTTTTCTACTGGCTTCTGTTGGGCCACTGCTGGATGACTTTGCCCTGGGAGGTCGGATGGAAGTCCTCGATGTGGCCACGGAAAGCTTGGAGGGACCATCCCGAAATAAACCCAGTTAAACATTCCTAGTGGCCAACCCAAGCTTGTAAGAACCTGTCTGCAGGCTGGATGTATTTAAGGGAAAGGGAGTGTCTGAGAAACTAACCTCTAGTTCTTCTCCACTTCATCTCCCACCTTTACTTCTCTCCAACTCTGACCCTGCTGTCAAAAAGTTGGCGCCGCATGTTCCCCCTCCTGGCCCTTTGCCCGCAGGGCGGTTGGGCGAGCCTGATGGATGAAGGCGTGTTTGAGGTGCTGCTGGCCTGTGAAACGGTTTCGCTCTGGTGGAAAAAGCTCACGGAGGCACCGTGCGAATCTGCTCCGCAGGGTGAGCGTCTGCTTGATGGCTGGAGGGCTTTAAGCTCTTTTGCTGACTTTCCTGCAAAGCAACCTTTTCATTTTAGCCCTCGTGTGAAAGAAGAGCTGGTTTGCGGAGCTTTGTGCATGCCTTAAAACTGGTTGCCCTCAAGCTTTTCCTTGATTTGGGAGCGTGGACCACACTTGGTCACTACCCATGAGAGCTTTTGGATGGAAATGTGATTTTATTGCCTCGTCGTACTGCTGTGTTGGTGTGAGAGACGGAGGGGCTTGGTCTCTCCTTTGCCTCTGCCTTGTCCAGTAAGGTCCTGTTGCGTTTCAACAGGAGTTGCACGGTTGCTCGTTCCTTATTTTAATCCAGGTCTACACTTGCTATTGGTGATACACTGAAATGGAGTACTCCTGTCTTGTACCTCGCTGCTTTTGCTTTGCTTTTCCCAGATTCAGAGCAGAATCATAGGATGATTTGGGTTGTAAGGGACCTTTAACGGTCATCTAGCCCAACCCCCCTGCTGTAATCGGGGACATCTACAACTAGAGCAGGTTGCTCAGAGCCCCATCAAGCCTGACCTTGAATGTTTCCAGAGATGGGGCTTCTGCTGCCTTTCTGGGCAACCTGGTTGTGCATTCCACCACCCTTGTGCAAAATTTCTTCCCAGTCCTTTGGGTATAACACACTACCACCATGTAGAGCTTCTTTCTAGCAAACAGGACCCCCTCCCCCCGAACTTCTTCCTGTAAGATTTTTTTTTTTTTTTTTTTACAACTGTTTGTAGCTCTTGTGGTCACTTCTTGCAACATGAGGGGTGGCCTCACTACCTTGCACCCCAGCATCCCCAGCCCACGCTGCTCGGGGGTGTTGTAGCTCGGTGATGCTTGGGGGGGACCAGGGAGATGGAGCTGCTCCTGCTGAGCTGTCAGATGAAGGATGGGGGATGCTGGAGACAGGTCAGGAGTGGGTCCCACTCCCGTTTACCCTCCTCCTCCTCCGTGGGAGGCATCTGTCTGCATGTTTATTTTTATCTCACATCTGCTGGCATCGTAACAAAGATTTAATGATATGACACAGTTTTGTCACCAGTCCTTTTTTTCCCTGTAGCGAGCGAAGCTTCCTTGCTGGCTGCTGAAGAGAAACGAAAGCTCTAAAAATGACAAAATTTGACGACTCATGTAGAAAACTCACCTGTTTGCCACAAGCACCTGCAGCCTGTCTGTCTGCATTTCTGTTTTTTTAGGGGCAGAAAAGATAGAACCTCCTGGGGTTTTGCCGGTTAGTGGGCTAAGCCTAGCCGCAGTCAATCTTTGCTAAGGAAGAATAGCCACGAGGGACACGCAGAAGGGTCCTCTAAAGGGGCCAAATGCTGAAAAAGCAGAATCACAGTCGATCTCGAGCTGGCACGGGGTTTACCCATCAGATCTCCCTGGGACGTGCCCGCTGTTTGTTATTTACCATCAAACACAACCCTGTTGGATTCCTACAGAGGTTTCGCTCCGTTGTTTAGATGATGGGCCGCGTCTTTGGAGAAATAAAGACGTCAGCCTCCCGCTGAGGAGAGTTCTGAGCCTGTTTGACCCAAAAATGGCAAGAGGATTTTAAAGACATGCTACTTAAGCTTTTTTTAAGGCAGACGGTCTGAAATTCCTCCGACTCCTGTGTTCTGCCTGGCCGTGAGCATTGAAAATGCAAATTCTTTTCCTGGAGGACAGTCGGTGTAAGATGTCTGCGTCCCACAGATGATTTTTACCTTGCCCCAGAGGGTTGGGATTTTTTTTTCCCTTGAATTTGAGCTGGGAAAGAAAAGATGTGTTATCCAGAGCACTTCTTCCATGTCTTCGTTCTTGGACCCATGCGCCTCCTCCCTTGCTGAGGTCCTGCCCTGGGGTGTCCCCCAGCACCTTGGATGCTTTGACGTAGATGCCCATGGCTGGAGCCAACCAGATCTTTGTCCAGAGCTTATAGCCTGCTTGTAAGGCTTTTGCTATCTAGACCAATGAAGGGATGTGGTCAGCAAAGCTGTAAAATAAGGATAAAAAAATACAGTAATCGCCGAGTCAGAGTGCAGGCAGTGTCTGCAGGGGCCAGAGCTGACAGCACCAGAGCTGGTGACCTCCAGGCAGCTTCTGCTTTGGAAGGACAAGGAGATGAACTCTCTTCAAAGCCTGCTTTGGGGCTATTGTATGAAATACAATGCCGGGCAAATCAAGCTCTCCTCTTTTACAGCCAGCCGCGCAGCCCTATAATCACGGGTGACCAGACCGGATTTGCATGTTAAAAGGAGTGGCTAGGGGCACTTAAAAAGAAGAGGAAACATATTCATCAAGTCCAGCTTTAGCCGTATGAATATTATTATTCGTGGGGACAATACGCCCCAGACCTCATCGGTGCAACCCCGCATCGACTCCTTGGTGCCGCTCCCCTCCTCCTCCTCTTAATGCTTAATTTGTAATGCTCTGCATCCTGACATTGATACTCGGAGCAGGGAGGAATTTGAGAAGGCAGTTGTTGGAACACGTGGACCACGGCAGTGGAAGCAGTGACCTGGCAGCAGGGCTGCGGGGTGCTCCGGGGCTGTTCCCAGCTGACGATGGTTCGGTGGAGGCGAGTAGCCCCAAAAGGGATGGGGAGATGCTCTAGTCTTGTCTGAGAAGGTGTACTGGGAGTGCTCGGGAAGGCAACACCCAGCAAAGCACCCCCGTGAAGGGCTCCAACACGCCTCCTGAGCCGGCAAAGTCCTGGTTCCTGAGAAGTCTTAAATGCACGAGCCAGGATTAACGTGTGCGTGGCACGAAGTCAAGGGCTTTACACGGCGGCAGAGCAGATCCAGGTGAAACGTGCCAAAAAATGACCGGTTGTGAGGGAGAAGGTAGCAAAGTGCTGAGACAAATGGGCTGGGGTGGATGTGGCATCTCCATCACTTAGAAGGCTTTCAGGATGGGAATGATTTAGGTGCAGCACAGAGGCAGGTTTCTCTTGAGGTCCCTTCTAGCTATATCTTTTATGGCTTTGTGATTGCTGATCACAAAAAAAACACACTTGAAGGTGCTTTAAAAAATAATCCTCAGGCCATGCCCTGCAAGACTTTGTTTAGCAGCTTGATTTAGAAGGACGGGAAGAAAAAAGAAAGTAAATGAAAAACCCAGGTGGGAACCGCAACCTCTCGCGCCTTGGCAGAAGCAACGCTGAGGTAAGACAAGTGGAGTTTTGCTGGAGCCTCAGGGAGAGTTTTAGTGGTCGTGCTAGTGTTGGGTAGACAGTTGGACTAGATGATCTTGGAAGTGTTTTCCGATCTTGAATGGTTCTGTGGTTCTCTGACAGCCTCGCTGAAGCTCTGGCTCTGGTTCATCGCGAGCTTTGTGCTTCCCAAAAAATCTGAAAATGGGCTCCGCTCATCTCTAGGCTTTGCCCAAGGATTTGCAGGAGGAGCGATGCCCCGTCTTCTAAGCTCTGTCTCTCCCTGAGTCTCCTTCCCACCTCCTCAGCACTTCACGATGCTTTTCCGTGAGCTGAGGACAAATAATTTAACGTGGATGAAGTTCAACAATAAAGCGCAGAGGTTCGGGAAGAGGTTTGCAGAAATAATCCTTATTATCCCATCTGCCCATAACCAGCTGCTGTCACATCTCACCTGTGACTTTTGCTGTCTCCTTTTCAAGTTTTAGCTCTCTCCCATCAACCCTTAATACTGGCCATGAACGTGTTACAAATGCGCTTGAGCGGTCACGATCTGGGCGTACCTGGAGCCTGGGTCCCCAGCAAAGCCTTTTTTTTTTTTTTTTTTTTCCTTTTTTTTTTTTTTTTTTTGCTTGCGATTTGTGCTTCTGCCTTTAGAGAGACAAGAATATGCATTTAAGATTTGCATAGGAACATGCAGCTGTTCCACCAAAAATGGATAATTGTTCTCCCCGCTGTGAAGTTAAACAATAAGAAGTGCCAAACTGCATTTGCCATTGCTGATTTTGTGCACTCAGCTGCATGTTTTATGCATGTAGATTAGTTCCAGATTTATGACGATCTAACTGTTAATGCCTGCATTAATCAGGCCAGGTTCTAGTTGCTGTGGTAATTATAACTTTGAGTTTTATGTAAAGTTCTGTGTTGCATTTAATGCTCTTTTTATCTTTTGAGGCTCTCTTGTATTTAATGCCTTATGGTGAAAACGGGAGAGGGCATCAGTGTTGAAGTGCCTTTGGGCAGAAAACAAGTTTCAGCAAAGAGAGTAATTTTTCCGGGAAGTTGTGGCGTCTGGGAAAATAAGGGTTTGTGATAGAGTGCCATCTTGACCACAGCTGTATAACTGTTATTATAAGTGTGTAACAACTATTATAGCTGCTGCAATACTGTAATAAAGAAAACAGCTGTATAACTTACAAATGTCCTGAAAATATAGGACCGAAGCTTTTGGGTCTCTAGATATTCCTTCTGGTGGGCAGAGGGAAGTGCTGATGTGCCTTTGATGAGGAAATGAGCCTGTGCCTGACTTCTTATTTATTTTATTCATTCTGTTTTCCTTCCAGAACACACCGGTGGGCACTCCGATTTTCATAGTCAATGCCACGGATCCGGACCAAGGGGCAGGAGGCAGCGTGCTTTACTCCTTCCAGCCTCCTTCCAACTTCTTCGCCATCGACAGTGGACGTGGCATCGTGTCGGTGATACGGGAGCTGGACTACGAAGTGACTCAGGCGTACCAGCTCCAGGTCAATGCCACGGTGAGTCTTATCCTGGCTACTTGTAGGGCAGGAGGCGTTTTTGGGAGGGAAGAGGCTGCTTGCTGCTTGATTGTTTTATCACCCTTCTCAGGCACTTCCAGCATTTTGCACTTAGAAATCATAGGATCATAGAATGTTCAGGGTTGTAAGGGACCTTGAAAGATCATCTAGTCCAACCTTTCAAGGCTGAACAGCCCCAGGTCTCTCAGTCTCTCTTCCCAGCAGAGATGTTCAGTCCCTTGATCCCCCTCGTAGCTCTCCGCTGAACTCTCTCCAGTAGGTCTCTGTCTCTCTGGACTCCTCAACCTGGGGAGCCCCAAACTGAACACAGGATTTCAGGTGTGGTCGCACCAGGGCAGAGTCTAGACACATGCTGGACACACTTTTCTTGATGCCCCCCAGGATCTCACTGGCCCTCTTGGCCACAAGGGCACGGTGCTGTCCCAGGGACAACTCGCTGTCCACTAGGACTCCAAGGGCTGTCTCCATGGGGCTGCTTTCCAGCAGGGTGTACCCTAATCTGTACTGGTGCTGGTGTTATTCCTCCCCAGATTCAGGACTCTACACTTGTCCTTATTGAACTCCATGAGGTTCCCCTTTGCCCAGCTCACCAGCCTGGCCAGATCTCGGTGGGTGGCAGCACAGCCTGCCTGGGTGTCAGCCACCCCTCACAGTTCTGTCATCAGAGAACCTGCTGAGGGTGCGCTCTGTCCCCTCGTCCAGCTCATTGATGAAGATACTGAACAAGACTGGACCTGGCACTGATCCCTGGGGAACACCACTGGCCACAGGCCTCCAACTTGACTCTGTGCCGCTGAGCACAACCCTCCGAACTCTGTTGTTGAGCTAGTTTGCAATCCACAGTCCAATCATCTATCCCACATTTCTTGAGTTTACCTATGAGGATGTTATGGGGGACAGTATCGAAAGCTTTATTGAAGTCAAGGTATGTGACGTCCACTGGTCTCCCTCCATCAACCCATTTTCGTAGGATATCAGATTAGTCCGGCAAAGATGTGTTATAGCACTGAGGTTCCCTCGGTGGTTTCAAGTTGCTGTGGTTCCCTGGGTGGGTGTACAGACCATTAAATCCTCCAGTTTTGTTCCTTGCATGTTGTGGCTTGTAACAGATACAGTCACGTTTCTTAAACCTCCTGAGCCTCACTCGGCAACAGCTGAATTCAGACGTCATGGATTAAAATTGTGGTGGATGGAGGAGGAGAAACCAAGGTCCTAATTGCAGGTGGTACTGGGAGGAGTATGTCCAGGTGGCCACCACGGCAAATTTGTGCCCCACCTGAATGGGGAACTCCTTTCCTTGTGTCAAATCTATGAATAAGGAGTGTGCGACTGCGGAGGACCACACCACCAGGCGCTCTGGATGTGATGGCTCCTTTCCCATCTCACCAGCCACAGAGGAAAGCGAGATTCAGCCCTGCAATACATCTGACCAAGTCTGCGTTCAGGAGCAGGGGGCAATGAAACCCTTCCCGACCCCTCCAGGCAGCTGGCTAGAGTTCTTGAAGCATGTGATTTAATCAAGATCATTGTCTTGATGCAGAACCACAAATGTCAGGAGGGCTGAGCGAGGCTGCTTCGCTCTCCACGACCGTGGAGCCCAGGCACCCGCGGACTGCAGGGCCACAGGCAAACGGCACAACCTTTCAGCCCAATGCCGACGTGTTCCAGGCTGGGGAATTTTCCCCAGAATCTTATTATCTTTTAACTCTGAAATGTACCTCATTTAATTTTAAATACTCCAGCGATAAGAGGCCCTGCCCGTTGTTTGTTCCCCTGTTGCCAGGACATGCTATCGAACTGCCTGGTGGGTTAATAAAAAAAGGGAGCAAGAGCAAGCCCTGATGGAAATGTGCTTTTCTTTCCCATGTCTGAGTCTGGTTTCCTCCAGGACACGAGGATGCCACCTTGGTCCCTCCAGCTCCATCTAGCCCTGTATCCCCAGTGTAGTTACCAGCAAAGATAAAGTGAGAGCATATTTGGTACTTGCTACCTAATACACTTCTAGTGGTTTCCAGCTCAGGGAGTTCAAATCTCTTAAATAATAAGTCTCTGAACCAGGCTTGATTGCAGCTGTGGGAATATCCTCAGCTTGGTTGCAGGGTGCTGGCAATTTCTAGTGGAGAAGCAATGAGAAACCCTGGGACAAAGCAAAGGAGGGTGAGAGTGGCACCAGCATGGAAAAGCAAATGCAGTCTCTTGACTGCCTGATGAAGAGTTTATACATGGTCCAGCGTGGAATCTGGGGGTGATGGTGATTTTGGGGTGCCTACAAGAAGAGCCGTGGAGCCTTGGTTCAAGGCAGGAGTTGTTTGATCCCAGGGATGTAGGCAGCAAGGGCAGGAAGAGGCTGGGAAGGGCAACGTGAGAGATGGTGGATGAGGAAAGTTGAAATGTGCTTGCTTTTTCAGTGCTATCTGTAATACTTTAAGCAAAATTTAAGAGGTGAGGAGGGAAAAAATAACATCGCGTGAAGAAATGAAAGACTTCAACCTGATAATGCTAGCAGCCGAATGCGAGTCAGAAATAAGCATCCATCCAGACCATAAACGCTGAGGCCTGCAGGTTAAGAGGATAATGTACAAGCTGTGTTGTTGAATACGGTTTAAATTAACATTAATCTTCTGGCAATCAGTCCTTGCTGCTATTCAGAGCCGTTTTGCAGAAGTGCGTGGTAACCTCTAATGGTTGCCTTTCACCACAATCCTTGATTAGGGGGTAAGAAGACATTCATTTTCTTTGCTTTGCACATTATCTGCTTTGCTCCTGCCCTTCTAGCAAAGGATTGTAGGCGTTGGGGTGGCTTTTGAGTACCCATGGGGTGAGGCTGCAGCCAGAGAACTGGGGCACTGCCAGGTCAAGGTGGTTGTTGCATTGGCTGCTGGAGAAGGGTCTTGCGCTGAGAAAGTGCTTGTGGCTCCACCCTGATGAGTTGTGACGGGGTGTGGGAGAGATGATCCATGGAATCATAGAGTCGTTTAGGTTGGAAAAGACCTTTAAGGTCATCAAGTCCAACCGTCAACCTGGCACCGGCAGGTCCACCACTAACCCATGCCCCCAAGTGCCACATCTGCGTGGTGTTAAGTATTTCCAGGGATGGTGATGCCACCACTGCGCTGAGAAGCCTGTTTCAATGCCTGACAACCCTCTCTGGGAAGAATTTTTTCTTGATATCCAATCTAAACCTCTTCTGGCAGAAGTTGAGGCCGTTTCCTCCTGTCCCAATGTCTTGCTCTGAGTATCATAATGGACGGGAGGATGCTCATGATCGTAAGATCACTGCGTGCTCCTGACCTTCTTGGCAGAGCAGGGAAAGTGACTGCCTGGAAGTAGCTTAGCTTACATCAAAAAGCAGCTCCTGGTTACCCTGGTCCTTCCAGTCCTTGTGCAAGTCAGGAGAGGAGAGGTTTGCTTGGTTGTGTTACAGCTGGGCGGACCCTGAGCCGTGCAGAAGCATCGGTGCTGCAGGGTAGGAGATGCTCTGCCGTGATGTGCTGGTCTGAAATCTGCTGGCAACCACACCTGGGGTGTGGCAGAGGCGCCCTGGGGTGTATCTGCACGAGGAGGGAATTCAGGTTTTTTGAAGGATGTGTTGAACAGCGTCGCTTCTTTTTCCGACCAAAAATAATGATGAAAACTGAATTGGTGCTTGCTGTATTTTAAAAGGCTAATGCTGGAATGAAATGCGCATTGTGTTTCAGCTTAGAGGGAGGTACAGTGGACAATAATTCCAGCAGGTAGCTTGAAAGAGAGATGATTACCTGGAATATTCAGAAATTCTGACCCAACTACAGCTGTGAGAGACTTAATACTGTTGAATGATTCTATTTTTCTGATAGAAATTCTTTCTCTCCCCTCCTGTGTCCACCACCAACCATTGTTTTTCTCAAGGACCAAGATAAAAACAAGCCACTGTCTACTCTGGCCAACCTGGCAATCACCATTACGGACGTCCAGGACATGGACCCCATCTTCATCAACCTGCCCTACAGCACGAACATCTATGAGAACTCACCTCCGGTAAGGGCTGCTGCTTCACTCTGACGTGCGTGACCATGGTGACGAGCTGGGGGCTGAGGGAGGATGGAGCCAGGGTCTGGGACAGAAAGCACGAGGTTTTCCCAAATGAGCTGCAGGAAAATCTCCTCTTTGCAGAGATATTCATCCTTCCTTCCTTCCATCCATCACAATCTGGGCGCAGACCATGGTCCAGTTGCGTGGTCCTGTTTCCATGCTGCAGTGCAAATGCCCCAAATCGTGGGATACAAAAAGAGGGAAACCTTTTTCTTTCTGAAACAGCGGGTTTCAGGCCAACTCCAAATTATTTTTCCTCTTTTTTTTTTTTAAAAAAAAAAGAAGAGCCTAAGCAAGGAGGCTTTGAAAGCCTGAAACCCAAATAAAATCTTTTCCTAAAATTTTAAGTAGGCTTTCTGTTGTTCTTAGCACAGTCCCCGTATTTTCCTCCTCGCGGTATACATGCAAGCTATTTCTAATAGAAAAGTTGAAGGAAAACGTAACCGTTCCTGAAATGAGGCAGTTCTGAAAATGCCAGAATCATCAGCCATTTCAGCGCTTCGAGCATTTTTTTTTTATTCCCCTCAGGCTTTGCCAAATTGATCCAATCATTTTAGTTCTTCTTCAACTCAGTTTGTCAGCAAAGTTGCTGTTTGTGGAAAACATCTCCCAGTCTCTAACTAGCAAGGCTCTTATTTTTTTTCTTTTTTGTTTTAATTTCCTGCAGCTGACAATGAGAGGTTTTGGCTTCGGGAGCTGTTAGTTTTGCTCCCAGGCAAGGGCACCCTGATACACCTGATGGCTTGGTTCATGATGGGGTAGGGAGAGCTCCAGCTCGCTTTTTTGTTGATTATTTTTAAATTTTTTGGTTCACTTTGGAACAAAGTGATGGCATGGAGAGTGCTGGATCAATAGGGCTGCGTCCTACTGTCACGAGCCCTGCGGGCAGACAGCATGTTACCTGTCTGCCAGCCCAAAGATGGCCAAAAAATTGGCTTTGTGAATTACTTTCATGAAGTGCAAGTTTCGATGCGTTTCAGTGCTGTTGAGATTAAGGAGTATTTCTGTGGTGGGCAGTGCGAGCTGCAGGGAAGCAAAAACATTGCTTAGATCATCCTTAACCGGGAGCAGGAGAAAACCTTAGATGAACTTCTAGAAATGGAAGTCCCACAGGTATCAAAATTATAATGGCAACACCTTCATGGAGTGACCTGGTGTCCAGGAATGGGGATCTCTCTCAAATTAAAATTAATTATATATATTAAGGCTGAAGCTCGACGATCTCTTTGCGTTGATATAGTGACGTGCATCGCAGTTATTCCCAGAACGTACACCATTTGCAGTGGGCAAAGCGGTAAATAATCACTCTGTAACCTGAAATAGGGAACAAATAACCAAACTATTAGCCATTTGCTGATGAGTTTTGAGATTTTAATTTCTCCTGGCCCTGTGAAACATCTCCAAAAGCACTGAGATGTCCAAGACGAAGAGGTAGCCACCAGAAGACAACTGTTCAACGTGGGTGGTTCTTTGAGTGCTGTTGCTCTCTGGATTGGACCCAAAGTCCCATCCTCTCCAAGAGAAATCTCCGCTGCTGTAGCGAGGACCTGGTTTCCTCTGGGGAGCCTGAGGTTCCCCACATGTGTTTCCGTCTCTCCGTGGGAAGCCTTGTCACCAGCTCTGCCCTACCACTCGAGAGAACCACTCGTGTGTGCGGAGTGGAAGCTGTCAGCCTGCGGAACGGCTTGGTTACCAGAAGGATAACGGCAAATTTGGGTAAGAAGCCTGGGCTTGGCCATCTCCTGTCCAAAAGCAGGCCCCCAGGTCGAGCCAATGCACTGCAGTGCCCTGATATTGGGCTCAGTAGGTCAAAATGTGCTCGAGACGTCTCATGCCAGCCCCAAACCTACAGAACGGAGACTCGCTGCTGCTCCACGGGCCCGCTCTCCGCCGCCTCTCTTTTTATCTGCAGTGCACAGCATGTCTGTGCTCCTCTATCAGTGTATCAGGTGAGAATACCTCATCTAAAGTGTATACATTACCTAATAAAATCCTTCTTATTTGGGATTATTGCATCAAATTTTAATTTCCTCACTCGAGTAACAGCATGTCAGCCAGCCCGTCAGCGAAGAGACGATAGAAGGTGAAAAGAGTGGATAAACTGCAGCAAATTACCGCAAACAGATCTCTATCAGCCCTTTGACTGGAATTGACTGGAATTAAGAAGTGAGAAATAGGATTTTTTCCTCTTTTTTTTTTTTTTTTCTCTTTGCCGTGGCAGCTTTCTGAAGCGCTTCCCCCTCCTTCACCCCTCCTCCTCCTCCCGCTGCAACGCTGGGCTGCGCTTTGCCTTTCAAGTCCCTAATCCTGTAAGAGCAGAAGAAGAAAAAGGGGCGGAGGGGCACGAGAGGGGAGAGAAGTGCTATTGTACCTCTTATTTTTCTCAGACCGGGATCTGGTAGCATAATTTAGAAGCGTTTTGGGCACATGCTTTTTCAGACACTGAAGAAAGAAATTTCTTATCGGGCAAAGGAAGAGGACGCAGCGGGAAGAGGCTTTGCTATCCCTGGAGGTGTTGTATCTCCTTTTTCGATGCTGTTTATCATCCCAGCATGCCTCAGACATCTCTCCCAGGGCACCCGAGTGCACCAAAGCTCAGCGATGTTGGATTTTTCATCCTCAGAGCCTTTTGGGGTGTCTGTCCCTATGGTTGCCGTAGGCAGGGTAGCATTGTGGGTGTCCTCCAGACAAGTTAAGGGGGGCTGGAGGAGAAGGGCCGTTTCCCTCTGAGTAGGTGCCATAGGTCTGGTGAGCCCCTGCTTTTGGACCTCAGCTGGAGGCATGGTCCAGGCAGCATTAGAGCTTCATTTTGGGGGTGAAAGAGGAGGAAGCCACTCATGAAGAGACAGACTGAAATTGTGCTTCATCCCACAGGGAGCCAAGCGAATGCGAGGTGGGATGGGAGCAAACCCCATTGGCGCTTGTTCCCAAGAACAGCAGTTGTATTCCCTTGCGATAGCACGGTACTGATACGTGTTGGATGTCATTAAAACAGTTTTAATTCTTCAGCACCATTCCCCTCCTCCTCAAAAATCCTCGGGTTGAAGAAATAATGTAGAATCAGTGCTATTTGTGCCCTAGAGTCTTGATAGCTCCAAGTTAATTCTTTCTTACAATATTTCCAGCCCATCAGTGTGAACACTTTATTAAAAGCTCAGGGTTTTATTAAAAAAGGATTGATTTACCCCTGCCCCTCTTCAAAAAAACTCTCGGATTTTGTTTGGATAATGTGCCATTCTTTATTTTCTTTGCCTTTTTTTTAAGCATAGGCTTTTCCAGATTATTACTTTTCTAAACCTTCTTCCTCCTTCCCTAGAGGGAGAGAGTTATTCTGTTCCAGTGCCTCAGTCTACACCCACCAGCCAAGTCCTTCCTTTGCAGCCACCTTTGTCTGCGGTAGTTGTTACCTATTTTAAGACATGTCGAGAACATTTGGGAGTTCCCAAGGGTCGCAGGTTCATGCCACAAATACCGGAGGTGTGCCCTGGGCAGAGCTGTCGGTGCTGGAAATCAGCTGGGAGGTTTCCATGAGTAAGCGGAAGCCTTACCAGATGTGTTTGGCTAGAGATGATGGGAAGGTGCCCTCCAGTTTAGGAGGGTTGACTCTCTCAGGGAGCCAGGATGCAGCATCTCCTGCCCTCGTCGTGCCAAGACACAGATAGCAAAAGGAATATTGTTGTGGTCCAATAGAATGATTTTGGAAGAGAAACTGGAAATTGTTGAGATGTGGTTGGTGAGAAGTTGATCTTGGCCGTTGTGGTACGATCATGATCAAGGGTCTGATTTGGGACATGTTCCCATTTTTAGTCTCTCCGCTCTGGTTAGTTACTTCTGCTAGTATGGTGGCACTTCATGATCATCAGAGGTACGAAGAGATGAGAATAGCCTGCGTGTGGCGTCACGTTTTGTGTCACATCGTCCCATTCCAACACATGCTGATGGGAATACTCTTTGCTGACCGTGCTGAGCGATCCTACTCCAGGACTGTCTTCATCAGATGTTACCACTCGCTACAAAACCAGTAATTGCCACCAGCAATGTGGGTAAACGCTGGGCCTATCCCGTGGCTCTTGTTCAGCTTCTTGCCCAGAAGGATCAGGATTGATCCTAAGCTCTGTGTGGATGCTTGTGGTGGGATCAACCATTCCCAGGAGCTGGGATCTGCCAGTCTTGTGGATATTGGAAGATGCTTGCAAAGGAGCTGGCAGAAAGGATGGAAACCAAGTGGGATGTGAAGAGGTGCCCAAATGGTTTTTGACTCTGCCTGTGGTTCCAGGAGACAACATTCACAAAAGGTAGGGAGCTCTGCTTTGCTTCATCATGTGTTTCTTGGTCACTGGTGAAGCGTGGCTCATCTCCAGGAGGGGCTGGTGAAAGGGCTTATGGAGAAGAAGACACACAGGGCTGCAGGAAGAACAGAGGGGACACCAGCAGCATGAAAGCCATCATCATGGGCTGACCAAGGACAAGGAGAACCTTAGCGTGTTCTCTAGCAGTCCTCACTTTTGTGTTTGGGGTGTCCTCTTTTCCTCACCCCTTGTTCTGCTTTTCCACTTGCTTCTTGCTCTCTTTTCTCATGCTTTTTATCTATCCCTGCTTCTCTGGAAGGCACAGTTATTGCTGGTGATTTAGAGGCTCTCCGGCAGCTGCTGAGCTTCACCAGCCGAGTGCTGCTCAAAGGCCAGTGACCTAGGATTTACGGCTAATGTTCTCGGTTAATAACGTGGATTTACTTAAGGAGTCCGTTGCAATGCCCTCAGAGATCAGGGAACGGGCAGTCTGCCTGGCCCCGGCAGCCTTCTTTACGGTCGGTGGCGGCAAAGCATCTCCATCGAGCCCGTTTCAGAAAAGTCCCTGGTGATGTTTCTGCAGCAGCTTTCCCTTTGGCCTTCAAGTGATGGATTGCAGGGCAAATGCAACGCTGCTGTCCCGCTCCGCTCCTTCGTTAGATATGCAAACGCCTCTGTTGACATTTTCTCTAAGGGCAAAAAAAAAAAAAAAATTGCTTCTTTTCCCACTGTTAATAAACCAATGAAAACAAGAACAGCTGAGTTGTAAATTTTTCCATGCTACATTAATTATGTGCGTGTGTTTGTATTCGCATGGGCTCACTGCAGTGCGGCGGGGGAAGTACAGCTTATGGCATTGACATAAGGGCATGATGTTGTTATTTAAAGAACTAACCAAGAATTTTTCGGGTCACTTCTATGGTCTTCATGGATTTTGGGGGGACTCTTGGCCTCATGCTTTCTGCTGGGCTCTAAGAAGCGGGTCTGTCCTGCAGGGTGGAGGGTGAGCTGGCAGCTGTAGAAGCTCATGCCTGTGGGCAATGCAATGTTCTCAGCATCTGTCCAGCCCTCTTTCTCCTTAAATGTTTCAATTAAAATCTCTGCAGCTCACTTAATTATGCAGCTGGATGCTGATGGCCAGTGCAAGCACCCCTCGTCCCTTGGTTTTCTTTGTTTGAAGAAGGCAAGGGGAGAAGAGAACAGATTGAAACTGGGAAGCCAGCAATAGGTCAAACTGGTGTAGCGACCAGTGCTGAAGGTGTTGGTGAATTGTTGTCTTTGGTTTTTGAGGGACTGCAGAGTGAGTATGCTCTCTGTGGAGGAGTGTACGCTTTGGCCTCTCGGCTGGAGCCTGCCCAGCTGCGATGCTCTCAGGAGGCTTGTCCTGACTTTGCCAATGCTGCACCTTCAGTTCCACCTTCCTCTTCCTCCTCGAGCAGCGATACCGATGCTCGCCAGGCTGACCTTCAAATCCTTCTCCTCTGGGCAGGGGATGAGCAGCGAGAGTCTGGTGGTGCTTTCTCTAGTCCCTGCAGACTTTTGCCCTGGTACAAACCTACTGCACAGTCAAACTCAGCCTGCTCAGGGGTTCAGTTAGAGGATACGTTCTCCTGGTCAGGTTCATCTCAGCATCACCATCTACGTCCTGAGGCAGGTTAGCAGAATTTTGCAGCTTGCAAAAGAGTGATAGGCCGTAAGCGTGAACAAAAAGCAGGTGATGGGATTTTTCCGTAACATACCTCCTCCTCAGACAAGTTTTCCCTAACATGTGGCCCAGGGTAAGAGGTGCAATGCCTTGGCGGGGAGCCCCTGTAATTCCTGTCTCCTCTCCATCCCCAGGGTACCACTGTAAGGATGATAACGGCGATCGACCAGGACAAGGGCCGTCCCCGAGGCATCGGCTACACCATCGTGTCAGGTAAGTGGTGGCTCTTTTCATCCAGCCTCACTGATTATGTCGCCTGCTGCTACGACTGAAAACATTTACTCCTCTGAAAAGCTTTCTTTGCCTTTGACGCTGCTGGAGCTTTCCTCTTTTTCCTCAAGTAGTAGATATTATTTCTAACAAACTTGACCATGTCTACTAGAAAACCTTTCAGCCCTAACGATGAGCCACGAACAGCTCCACTTGGTGCAGCCCCATGGAGGAGACCTGTGGAGAGCTGGGTGTCAAAACTCTTGCTGATGATACACCGGTGGTTGTTTAGGAAGAGACTGATTATGGGACCGGTTATGGGACTGGTTACAGGCTGGTCGTGCTTTCAGGGAGGGACCAGCTTGGTGTGTCTGGGTCATAACCTTGTTTCTGGCATTGCTTTTGGGGAAGGAATGGCAGCAGAACCTTCTCTCGCTGCTGTGCCACACTCTTCTGGCAGCTCCTTCAAGCTATGTGGGCAGAAACAATTTTGCAGCTTCTTCCCTGTCAAAGCCCACCACTTTCAAACGCTCTTTCATTCAGCCTCTAGGGTCAAGGTGATTTCACCCTGACTTTCAAGTCCACTGATCCTGACTGCAAGTATCCAGGTCAGTCTGCCTTTGAAGGTGCAAGGATTATTTATTCCTCTAATTCCCACTGCAATTTATTCTAATGTCGCCTCACCATGAATTAAAAGTGAGATTCCCCAAGAATGCCTGTATCGACTGGCCAAACTGCAGCACAGACTTTCTTTTGGTTGGTACAGGCCCTTTTATACTGGAGACCAGATTGAAACCTCAGGCTGATATTGCAGAGGCTGCTGTGAGGATGCCAGAAGCTTTCAGCTTGCAGAAATCTCCTCCAAGTCTGAAGTTGGTCAGCAGCATGTTGAGAATCCCTTTTGTCCTGTTTGTACCTCCTCCTTTGGGCATCTGCTGGTGGCCCCAGACCCTTCTTCTGACTCGGTAGGGGTGATGCTGTAGGTATCTGATTTCCCCATGTCGGCACCAATGCAATACAAACAGCTCTGGGTTTCCAAGAGCGTTTCTGTGGTGCCTTAAACATACAGAAACAACCACTCATGGTCACGTCGGGGTTTTCTGCTTGGCAGACAGTCACAGCTGCTTTACTGAATCAAGGAAACAAAACCTTGGGCTCCCGATTTTTACCCGGAACATTCATGCGTGCTCTTATTTTCACGTCTGTCATTGATTTTCTTGCAAAAAATAGCCACTGGGTCCCTTTGACAGGGTGGCCGTGAGCCTGGCCGGGCAGGGGGAGGGTGGCAGGGAGCCAGGCACGCTCGGGGAGCTTGGTGACAGCGGGGTGGGGAGGGACAGGCGAGTGGATCAGTGCAAACAGCCTTGTGTCCCTCTTGCCTATGCCAAGAGCTTAATCCTTGCCCCCAGTCCTGCCTGGCGGCGGGCAGCTCTGAGATCGGGGAATCAGGCAGAGCACATCAAAGAGTGATTAAAATCCTGTATTTATTTATTTTTTTTATTATTATTTTTTTTCCCAAACATGAAAATTGCATGGCAAGGAGACCTTGCAGAGCGATGGTGCTGGGAAGGGAGGGACCGTTGCCTCCTCCTCACCTTCTCTCGCCCTTGGCTTCAGGCAAATGTTTCCAAAATCCCTGAAACCAGGCTTCAGGATGCTCTGCTTCCACTTTGGATTGAATTTGTTGCCAGAGCTCACCAGCTCCGTTCAGCTGCCAGACTGTAACTGAGGGCAAATTTTAAACAAAAACGTGGTCACAGGGCAATCAGGTTTTTGTCTGAAGCCAGTAAGGGTGCAGGAAGCTCCTTGACTCTGCTCAAGGCATTCTCTTAATACGTTCCATGGTTTGCTTTTTGCTTTTGAAACATGATGTTACCTTCTGTTTCCTGAGCTTCCAGACATGGGAACCAGCAGCTACTGTGCCTCCAAAACCCTGCTCACCCCAGGCAAGCGATTTTTTAAAATTTTTTTTGGCAGGCAGGTAAAGCGTAATTAATTTGTTATCATCCTCAATCATGATGGTAAAGGTCAGCGAGCATATTTTGTGCCTGAGCTGGTAAATTTTTATGGCAGTTTTGCACAAAAAAAAAATAAATTAAAAAAACCAGCCTAACGTATGGGAAAGGGGAAGCAAATTAAATTAGAAACCAACTGTAAGCAAAAGTGAAAATGGCCAGTGGAGGTAGTAATTATGCCTGTTTTTTCAGCTCCCTTCCATGAGGGGATGTGGTGGTGATGCTCTTCCAGTTTCGCAGCAGGGATGGGTGCTGCCTCTCCCTGACTCTCCCAGGGCTTGGGGCATGGGGTTTGATTTAACCTGCTGGGATCGAATAGACAGCATCGAGAGAGCTGAAAAGCAACCTAGCTGTTTATCACACCTTCAGTGTTAATATCTAAAGCATTGGTATGATTTGGAGGTGGGGTGTAAAAATTAATTTGGAGTTGCGGGTGTCCTGTTCAGCTCCATCCCTCGGGTAGCTGTGCCTCGGCATATACTGCAGGAGCTCTTATTTATGCAGCTATCTCCAGCACAAGGTCCTCTCATGACAGGAAAACAATAAAACTAAAAGATTAACCACAACCACATAAAATAAGACTGAAGTTCTAACTTTATGCCGCCAGCTTACAAAGCTGTTAAGGTTGAAATGAGGGCTGGTCTCGCTGTGTCATGGCTTTTGGCTAGTTGTCCTACCTGCCTGCGTTGGGAGTCATCTCCATCTCTTAGAGGGAAAAGCTCTTCATGTCGCTTCTCCCCTTTTTCCTTCCAAATTTGAGCGTATTAACTCTGTGAAAACACGCACCCGTGCTTTGCGAGGAGTGGGGTGGCTGCCCTGCAAAAGGCTGTTTGGGGGGAAAAAGAAAAAGAATATTGAGCCCTGGTGATTCAAGCCTGTCGGTGCCTGTTGGGGCTCCCATGGGTGTTTCTGATGCTTTTTCCCAGAGGAAAAGGGAGGATGTGACCAGTGGGTGCCCCGCAAGAACCTTCCCTCCCTGGTTCCCTGGCTGCTGTGACAGGTTGGAGATGCTCAGCCGCTGAGGTCAGGACTCTGTTTGAAGGACGGATAATTAATCCAGGAAAGTAATCCACAGTTCCTTTTTGGCAGATTTATGGAGATAGCCTCTGTACCGGGGACTCTGCCTCATCATCTTTCATTTCCCAGGCAAAGCAAGTGACTTGTGGTATAACACGACCTGTTCTAGATAAGGCTTTTCATTTCGGGGAACTCTCTCGTCTAACAGAGATTGATATTTTTTTTATTATTTTTTTTCCTGGTGGAAATCAGACGGCCCCGGCGCTCTCACCAGGTCTTGTGTGTTTTCACGTTTGCTGCTGTCACGCATCACCCGGGGCGTGGGGAATCCTTTGAAGAGAAGGATTTTTAGCGTGAGTTAAGTGGCAATTTAATCAATAGACTTTTGCCCGCGAGCTCTTGTTAGGGAAATGTGTTGTATGGCCACAGCCTCGTGCTTTGCTCACTGGCGATAAATTTTGGGTTTCGTTTATCTTCAGGACAGCGAGGAGACTTCATGCCCTGTGGCCTGAAGGTGACCTGTGCTGTTTGGGGAGGCATCAAAGGGTTAAACCAAGGGAAAAGGTCCCGGGACTCTGCAAGATGCCCAGAATGTCAATCTCTTTCTACCTGACACATTTCAGGTTTGGTGATGGATGGGCAAGAGGGAGATTGTACAAGGGCAATCCATATGTCCTTCCCAGGGCTTGGGAGGGAGGGGAGGGAGCAGAGGATTTCCCTCGAAGAATTCTTCACAAACCCTTAGGGCATTTATTCTTTTTTTTTTTTCCCCCTCCCTAACTTGACTGTTTTAGGAGGCTGATGCAGTTTTTGGCAAAGCGGTCTCTTCCTAAAGCTCGTGCATCCCAAGGGAGGCATGAATTAAAAATCATTATTTGCAGTGTAATAGAAAAAGCAAGAGGGAAGCATGTCTGAAAAGTATTGCACTCTGTCTCTCTTCTGGTTTTCCTACTCAGGAACAACAACAAAAAAAAATATATATGTGTGTGTTTGTGTAGAAATGGATGCAGTAGCTCTTGGAACATGTTTTATGTGGTCTTAACAGATCTAGAGTCCTTTTAAAAGTGCAACATGAGCCCTTCTGAGGTAAGCTTAAGTGGCCAAAGAGTTCTTCCCAGCCCTCAGCTGCTGACACTTCCCGTCGCATTTTGACCTGACTTTATTTAAAGAAGGTAAAGGGCAAGGCAGGGCAAAGTCCCTTAAACCAGCCATCAGGGAGGATCTCTGGAAACAAGACCCACTAATTTTAATATTCCCATTGCCTATGTCGCCTCGGCTTTTTCCCATATTCGGATCCCTTGGTGAACTACTAGGGTGTTAAAAGTCTTCACAAATTACAACTGCTGGGGGGACCTTCTGGCGGTGATTTAAAGGCAGTCATCATCACAGGGCGTTTCTGGAGGAGGACACGCTGATGGGTGGAAAAGCGCCTCGTGCCGAGTTATTCATAAAAGGCTGTTTTTCCACCCTGCCAATGCGAGGGGATGAAAGGGCACAAAGAAGAGATGGTGGCTGCGGCTACATCCCCTCTTTTCTTGCCTTGGTTTCTCCCCATCTTCCTCCCTGCCGCTCGTGATGCTTCATCGTCACGTTGGCATCGTGCTTTGGCTCCCTGGCAACCCGGAAATTGGTAGAAAGAGATAGGGTTGGGATGACAGTTTGCATGGCAGGTGGTCCCCTAGCAAACAGCTTTTGGTAATTAAAACTATACATTTCCACTTACGTGTAACTATGAAACAAGAGCATATTTTTTGTTTAGTTTCTGGGACGTCTTCTTTAGCTTCCTGGGATTTAATGGGTGTTCAAGATGTTGGCAACTGCTGGAGAAGGATGAAACTGCACCACCTCTGTCCCTGCTGGGGCTAGAGAAAACAACTGGTTGCGAGATGGTTTTTAATGGAAGATTTTCCGAAAGCTGTTGAGCTTGGAGATGTGAGGTTTATGTTAAAAGCTGCTTCAGATTCGTTCCAA